AACCTCACGTTCATCAGCAGTGTAGTTTATCTCGGCGGGCAGGAGCTGACGGGAGTAGAAGGCTATCGGACAATCACCTGAGCGGGACTCGACAGTGCCGTCCTCGGCGATGGTAGGAGAAAAGTCAATAGAAGGCTCGTCAGTAGCTGGACGAGTAGGCGTCAATCGGGAAGCAGTGGTAGGGGTAGGTGGTGGGAAGCGAGGGATACGAGGATGAGAGGAATCAGGAGATGAGGGGAAGACCTGAGAAAGCACTGCTCATACAGCGAAGTCTGACGCATCGGTGGTAAGGATAAAAGGGCGGTCGAAATCGGGTAGGTGAAGAACCGGTGCGCATGTCACCGCCTTCTTGAGGGCGCGGAAGGCGTCCTCGTGGAGGGGTGTCCAAGCCCAGGGTGGGTTCTTCCGAAGGAGGGTGCAGGTAAGGACGTAGGAATTCCTAGCGTATCTCCGGATGAAGTTACTATAGTAGCTGGTCAGGCCTAGGAAGCTGCGAAGCTGCTTGGCGGATGTGGGAGCGGGCCACTCCGCAATAGCAGTGATCTTCGCGTCGTCCATGTGGAGGCCCTGGTCAGACACGTAGTGTCCTAAGAAATCCACTTTGTGCTGGGCAAAGCGGCACTTGCTTAGCTTGGCGTAGAAGCYATGTCTGCGCAAGCGGTCAAGGACGTCGCGGAGGTGTCTGAGGTGCTCCTYAAGGGTACGACTATAGACCAGGATATCGTCGAGGTAGACGAGAACRTACTGCTCCAGGATGTCCCTGAAGATGTCGTTCATCGCCCTCTGGAAGGTAGCGGGTGCGTTGGTGAGGCCGAATGGCATCACCGTGAATTCGTAGTGGCCGAATCGCGATCGGAACGCGGTCTTCGGCTGGTCGGCTGCAGCGACGCGGATCTGATACTAACCGCTACGAAGATCAATCTTCGTAAAGAAGCGGTTGCCTGCTAGGCGGTCGAACAGCTCATCGGAACGAGGCATGGAGTAGCTGTTCTTAACCGTGTAGCGGTTAAGGCCGCGGTAGTCGATGCAGAGACGAAGAGTTTCATCCGCTTTGCGAGCAAAGAGGACGGGTGCACCCCACGGGGAGTTGTTGGGTTTAATGAAACCCAGTCTCAGGAGCTTCTCAAGCTGACGCTTGAGTTCGGTGGCCTCGGGGATCGAGAGTCTGTAGGGTGCCTAGTGGTGAACACGATAGTCAGGCACGAGCTGAATGGAGTGCTCGACGTCACGCATCGGTGGGATGCCGGCGTACGAGAACGACGATGGAAAAACGTCGTGGTACTCTCTGGTGAGGTCACGAACTGTGGGCTCCAAGTCAGCCGTATATCGTGCGAGTTCCTCAGCGCCAGCGTCAGCGCGCGACGGCGGGGTGGACTCGACGGACGGCGGAGGGACGGAAGTAGAGATGGGAGCCATGGAGATAGAGGGAGGATMTGGCTCCAGAGGGATGAGCTCGGCGTCGGGACAGGGTGGATCATAGTGTAAGAGATCCGTCACGTCCACCACAAAGAAGGTGATGTCGTCCTGTCGAATGAAGTGAGCGAACTGCCGAGGCGAGGTGACAGTGATAGAGGGAGATGGTGTGGGCACTAAAGGCTCCGGGGGAGGAGGATCGGGGCGTGGTGTCGCCGTGGTACCTATGAAAGGTACGCGATACGCCTGTCCGCACTTCGTTTTGAGAACGAGAGTGTTGGTCGCCCAATCGGCCTCGGTGCTGCGGAACCGACGAGACCACGGACTGCCGAGAATGAAGTAGTACCCCGTCTCCATCACATCGAAATGTGCAGAGGAGCGGTGGCGACGAGACGCCGGGGAACGCTCAGTCGGCTCGAGAGTGAGGAAGAAGGGGAGGTCGGTGACCGTCTGATCGAAGAAGCACTGGGTCTTGTCATCCCCTAGGGTAACAGAGATGGGAGTCGGAGACACTGTCGTGGGTAAGCGGGCTTCCTTCACCACGCGTGGGTGAATGAAGTCGCCCTGAGAACCGGAATCCCACAGCGCTGAGTACACCCTTGTGGAGGTCCCGAGTCGTACAGGGATGATCGAGAGGGTGCGATCAGGGTCAGAGAGGATGGCGAGAAGGCGACGCATTGCAGCGACATGGAGGGTGAGTCGCTCCTGACGAGCCTGGAGCATGCTCAAGTCCAGAAGAGAGGACACAACGTCCTCGCGAGTAGCAAGCTGCTCGCTGCAACGGGCTGAGCGAATGGATCGACGCGTTGGTAATCGCGGCGGGGGAGGAGGGGAGACGGTGGTCTGCGGAGGCGCAGACGGTACGACGACAGGGGGCTGAGTACACTCTGTCGAGTCCTGCGATACCTCAACTCCAGTAGCGAGAGGGGCGGGAAGCGGCCGACGGCACGTCGGCAGCAGCACTGCTGAAAACTCGAGGACGAGATCTGAGATTGCTCAGACCTCATACTCTGGGTATGAACAGATGGCCTGCAGACCCAGCAGGCCATCAGACTCCGTTTTCTGAAAAAATCAGATAACGGACTTCCTCCGAACTGTTCGCCGAAAGCCGACGGACGCCCGAAACAGGCAACCTGGCCCAAACGGTGTCGGAATGACACGAAATTGTGTGGAGGCCTTCCCTGCGATACAGTGAGGGGGCCCACCAAATTCTGTATCATTCTGATAATGCTTGGGGCAGGTAATACAGGACTGAGCACACCGAATTTCACTCCGGCAAGGAAAACATCCAAAGCGGTAAGTTACCGCGACTAGCGGAACCTGCAGATTTTGCAGGTCCCGACCAGCGGTATCTACTGTGAACTGTGTGTTTTTTGCATAATGACTGTAGACGGTGTACGGTGGGACTGTGTCTTGGTCCAGGACATAAGGGGTACAGCCAACAATGAGCCGGACGCCCGGGTAAGGGGGCAATGCGAGGCCAAGGTCACTTGCACACATCTCCCGCCATTCGTCATCACCGCCACTCGTTCACCGCAACTACTCTTGATGACCGGGTGTACAAGGGACAACGCAAACACACTTTCCTTCCTTTCCTTCTTCTTCCTCCATCACCTACGCCCATCCGCCATAGCCGGCCACCCCGACCCTTCTTCCACCTCCATCACCTACACCCGCCCACCATAGCCGACCACCCCAACCCTTCTTCCACCTCCATCACCTACACCCATCCACCATAGCCGACCATCTCAACCCTTCTTCTTCCTCCATCACCTACGCCCATCCACCATAGTCGACCACCCCAACCCTTCTTCCTCCTCCATCTCCTACACCCGTCCACCATAGTCGGCCACCTCAACCCTTCTTCTTCCTCCATCACTTACACCCATCCACGATAGCCGACCGCCCCAACCCTTCTTCCACCTCCATCACCTACACCCATCCACCATAGCCGACCACCTCAACCCTTCTTCTTCCTCCATCATCTACACCCATCCACCATAGACGACCACCCCAACCCTTCTTCCACCTGCATCACCCACACCCGTCCACCATTGCCGACCACCCCAACCCTTCTTCCACCTCCATCACCTACACCCATCCACCATAGCCGACCACCTTAACCCTTCTTCCACCTCCATCACTTACACCCATCCACCATAGCCGACCACCTCAACCCTTCTCCTTCCTACATCACCTACACCCATCCACCATAGCCGACCACCTCAACCCTTCCTCGCTTATCAGCTCCCTCATCCACTTGAGGGCCATAGGGGCCGCAAGAGGGCGCGCGAAGTCTCGGGTAGGGCCGGTTGAGGAGGATCAAGGGTCAAGGGCGATTAGGATGTGGGGCCTCTCGTGTCTTCTCTCTCCCGCTTCCTCTCTTCCTCCCTTTCTCTCTCTCTCTCTCTCTCTCTCTCTCTCTCTCTCTCTCTCTCTCTCTCTCTCTCTCTCTCTCTCTCTCTCTCTCTCTCTCTCTCT